ATCATCACCATCAACATCATCATCATCACAATCACCATCACCATCATCACCATCAACATCATCATCATCACTATTATCATCATCATCATCATCTTCATAATCATCATCATTATCACATCATCACCATCAACATCATCATCATCACCACCATCATCACCATCATCATCACCATCATCACCACCATCATCACCATCAACATCATCACTATTATCATCATCATCATCATCTTCATAATCATCATCATTATCACATCATCACCATCAACATTATCATCACCATCAATATCATCATCACCATTATCATCATCAACATCTTCAACATCATCATCATCACTGTTATCATCATCATCACCATCATCAGCATCAGCATCATCACCATCATCAGCATCAGCATCATAATCATCATCATCATTACTATTATCATCGTCATCACCATCATCATTATAATCATCATCACTATTATGATCATCATAACCATAATCATCATCACCATCAACATAATCATCATCTTCACCAGCATTGCCATCACCATCACCATCATTATCATCATCACCATCAACATCATCACTATTATCATCATCATCATCATCTTCATAATCATCATCATTATCACATCATCACCATCACTATTATCATCACCATCAATATCATCATCACCATTATCATCATCATCTTCAACATCATCATCATCACTGTTATCATCATCATCACCATCATCAGCATCAGCATCATAATCATCATCACCATCATCATTATCATCATCATCACTATTATGATCATCATAACCATAATCATCATCACCATCAACATAATCATCATCTTCACCAGCATTGCCATCACCATCACCATCATTATCATCATCACCATCAACATCATCATTATTATTATCATCACCATCAACATCATCATCACCATCATCATCTTCACCATCACTATTATCATCATCACCATCAACATCATCATTATGACCAGCATCACCATCACCATCAACATCATCATCATTACCATCATCATCGCCATCACCATCATTATCATCACCATCACTATTGTCATCATCACCATCATCAACACTGTCATCATCATCA